CCCTGTCAGTTCATGTAATAAGTACATGAACTGACAGGGAGGCCTCCTAATACTAGAACAAATGTATGTTAAATGTTGTGGGCAGCGTAAGAAAGAAAATGCATGCAAAAATACTAACTACACGGGCAGCCTAGGATTGATTTATGAGCATCTGAAAATATTGTCCATAGAAAATATTATATATGACAAGCAGTCTGAGGTAATGTATAACGGACATTTTAATACAGCAGCAAAATAAGGAAGAAGTCTTTCATGGCGGCACGAGAAGAGGCATACCCGACGAAAAGGTCATTCGCCCACATATCATAAAGTGATTTAGATAAGACTTTGGAGCGTGCACGTGGTCCTTATCAGGAGACCGCGATGAGAGAATTCCCCGCCTCATTAAGTTTGACGAAATACCAAAGGCGTACCCAAATCAAGCCCTTGCAGAGCTACAGACACACCGAATTTCCAGCGTCGGCAGAGATGTAAGTTGCTCGTTCGTAAAATAGAAGTGCAGCTAATGCGTGACCTTGGCTCTTCAATCAAGCTATAGCTTTGGCGAAATTGCATACGCGAACCTAGAAAACTGCGAGGAATACACGCATACAAGTACCAATAATGAAGTCTATATTTGCATTGGGTTGTCTTTGACGTTTCGAGCCGAAGTGTAAGTAGTATGTGTACCTGAATTTACCACGGCTTCGTTGTCTAATGCAGAAGAATAGGACCAATTATTACAGTGAAAATTAGGGTTACTCACATAAATATACAGGAATAAAATAAACTCTCCGGCCAGTTTTTGTCGAACGCTTCTCATGTTAAAATTAAAAACTGGAAACTGACCCCCCGTTTCGGGCCAGACAGATCTCGGTCGAATATGCTCGCCTTCATGTATGCTAACTATGTATCGTCTTTTGAGTTCACACCTACTACAGTTGTATCGAAGCAATGTTTTGCAGCAGAATGACGGAGCCGCTAACAAAAAGAAGCGTGGGTATGAATCAAGGCTATTGAGTTTACCTGAATATTTGAATTTCTAATCAGGAGGTCAGAGAAGCGTCGATTTTTCAGTGGAACGCAAGAGGTCTGAGATCTCGAATATCTGACTTTCGCCAGTTTGTTCATCTGTACCAATTTCCTATCATGATTATATGTGAACCAAAATTATCGCACCCAATCATATTATCCGGCTACGAGTCATTTTTCTCTTCAAGTGTCATCGAAAGTAGCAAGGTTGTTGTATTTATTCGCCGGGAGCTTACTTACGTTGTCCAGCCAGTGCAACCTCACGACGGCAATCAGTATGTGTGCTTGTCTGTTAAAAAAGGAAAGGTGACATTCGCACTTCTAGGCGTGTATATATACCCATCAAGTTATTTCGACGCCAACAAACTAGACGGCATATTAAGGGCACATCCGGGTCCGTGGGTTATCACCGGGGATTTCAATGCGCATCATCCCATCTGGGGAAGCTCAAGGCTTAATTCAACGGGACGGCGTCTAGCATCATTGGTTTCCAGCCATGGTCTCGTCCTTCTGAATGACGCCAGTCCTACGTTTTTACGAGGCACTACATATAGCAGCTGCCTTGATTTGTCCTTTGTTTCACGCCGGTTTGCTACACGGGTAAAGTGGTTTTTGAACATTGAAACACACGGAAGCGACCACATACCCACTTACCTGAAGATTAAAGGTATTTCGAACACGTACTCCTCTACCACAACACAAAGAATAGATTAGAGTGTGTTCAAAACTCAACTTGAGGATGCTTGTGAAGAAGGCCTGTCCAATGGTCTTCAGCAAGCTATTAAGGAAACTGCACATGCGACTATGCGCACAATAATATGCTCTTCGAAGTACTCTGAATATGACCTCGAGCTGGAGCGACTTCGTGCGATACGCCGTCGTGCCGAAAGACGATACCGACGCACCAATTCCACAGACGATCTACGGACAGCCCGGCGCATCCAAAAGAAGATACAACGGCGCCTTGACAAATTAGTCACCCAACGATGGAGGAAATTTTGTGCGTCGCTAGATCCTCATAAACCACTGTCTCAGATATGGAGAATTGTGCGAGGCCTACGTTCTGTTCCAGAGCAGCGTTTTCCCTTCAAAGCCCTTGCACTTTTTCATCGCCGGCATGAAATTGAGGTAGTAGAAAATTTATGCGCTATGACCGTGGGCCAGACAGCGTACACAAGCCTACATACAGTGAATCATATCCCTCACTCACGGGACCCACGCATGGATCTACCGTTTACATCACAGGAGCTCGATGCGGCGCTCGTCTTGTGTAATAAGTCATCGTCAACTGGCCCGGATGACATCTCATACAAGATGCTGTGCAAACTTGGTAAACGGGCACGAGAAGCACTCCTTAACATCTTCAACGATTCCTGGCAAGCTGGCGTCGTTCCGCAAGATTGGAAGATTAGCCGCTTGGTACCGATCCTTAAGCCTGGCAAATCTCCCCTGGACATTGCCTCTTACCGACCAATCGCACTCTCAAGTTGCGTAGGAAAGGTAATGGAGAGAATGATCTTGGCCAGGCTTGAATGGTACCTGGAATACCATGAGATATATCCGAACGCCATGGCTGGTTTTCGCCGTCATCGATGTTCGATCGACAATGTTATAGATCTCGTCACATATGTCCAGCAACAAAAGGCAGGTAAACGACTATCTGCAGCCATGTTCCTTGACGTAAAAGGAGCATACGACAACGTTCTACATGACGCCATCCTCGAAGCCATTGAGTCAGTGGGCCTAGGCGGGCAACTGTATTGTTGGACACGCAGTTATTTACAAGGGCGGACCTTGTTTGTGAACACTGCAGATGGTCCAACTTCCCAACACCTAACGCATCATGGAGTCCCGAAAGGTGGCGTCTTGAGTCCAACCCTCTTCAACCTCATTTTCATTGGTCTTGTAGAACGATTACCAAGTGTGGTCAAGTTATCAATGTACGCTGACGACATCTGCGTCTGGACATCTGGCGTGACAAGGCCTCAGGTACGTGCAAGACTTCAGAAAGCTGTGACGTTGGTATCACTGTACCTCAAGGACCAGGGTCTGAAAATCTCGCCAGCGAAATATGCATTGATTGGTTTTAGTCGAAAGCCAATGAGACCATACGCTATATCAATCGATGGCCAAGTCATACGATATGTCAGGACGCACAGATTTCTAGGCGTATTCATTGATAGAGACCTCTGCTGGGGCCCACATGTGGCCCACTTGAAGAAGAGGCTGACAGAAATTGCTAACTTATTCAAGTATCTCGGAGGAAAAACCTGGGGGACTTCAGTACATGCAATGATGCAATTGTACAATACGCCTTTTCTTGGCTATTTGCGCTACAGTTTGCCTGTGTTGACCAACACCTGTAGAACATCCATTCGGACTCTCGAAATCATCCAGGCCATGGCTCTGCGAGTTTGTCTCGGGCTACCGCGATGCTCATCAACAGCTGAGACAATCGAGATCGCTAATGACTACCCGCTAAAGACGCATATCATGATGGAAGTGCTCAGAGCACACGTGAGGCATCTTACTCGTGCCCCTGCCCATCATCTAGCTTCACTGCCAGAAGCCCGACCTCGTGCCTCATTTTGCCAGACAGTATTGTCATATCGCACACGCATTCCTACGGGATATACAACTCCATCGAGGATTTCGACTCCCCCATGGAGTATGACCTGTGCACATGTTGAACTCACGGTTCCAGGCAGAGGGTCAAAAGCCCGGCTCTCGTCTCCAGCACTAAAGCAGCTTTCTCTTCCCTTGTTATATGAGAAATACGGTGACCATACTCATCTATATACTGACGCTTCAACTAAAGTGGATGGGTCTGCAGGGTCGGTGATCTTTCCTGCAACAGCGACAACGGTGAAGTTTCGTTTATCCCACCAGACATCATCGACAGCTGCGGAACTTGCTGCTCTACGTAGCGCAATTCAGGTCATTAAACACCAAGAAGCCAAGAAATGGAGCGTGTTCACGGACTCTAAGGCAGCACTAGTGTTTGATATTCGCCTTACGCCGGGGACCTCATGAACAACTAGTGCTGGAAATTAGAGAGCTGCTTCACCACCTCTTCGATGAAGGACACAGAATCACGTTTCAGTGGCTTCCAGGTCACTGCGGCATATTGGGCAACGAACATGCCGATGCAGCTGCCCGATCAGCACACGAAGATGGTGAAGAAAAATCTATACCATTTTCAAGGACTGATGCTGCAATGACCATCTGAAAAAACGCTAATGCAGAATTAAAATCCCTGTGGAACACCGAGTGCTTACGGCACACGCGACTGCGTAGACTGGACACGTCTCGTCGACTCCGGCTTCCGTCTGGACTCTCCCGACTCGAGACAACGGTGCTTTGCCGACTATGGCTTGGTGTCGCCTTCTACTAGGTTTTGACTAGGCTTTGACCTAAGTGATAAAAAGGTAGAAGCCATGGGTAATTGAACGCTGGTATTCAAATAAACCCTACTGAAATATTCCATACGTCATTCCTGTAAGTGCACGGGTTTCAATACAGATCACCTGGAAAATGTCTACACTTTTCCATATTTACAGTGTACTTCCTCAAGATTCTTACGAAAACACATGTAATCATCGGAAGCGCATAAAGAAAGCTTCAGTACTGAAGTTCTTTCGCGGCGGAGCCATTTGCATGCAGCGTGTACCACCGCACCATATCGTTCTAGCGGCGTAAAAAACATGGCGAGATAACAACAAAAGACACGTGGTGGCGCCTGTTCCGCAGTTTTTCTTCGCACCGTGGGCTGACTGATATTTCAAGTAGAGTATCTCATGTCAATTACTCTGAACACAGCCAGGTGGGCACAATGCGCTTTCCACGAGCTAATTAGCGTGTTTCTCTGAATGAAATATGTGTATTTCGTCACAATTATTGTCATAAAGTCCTGAAAACCTGTCGTATTCTGTTGAAAGGTAAAACTGAGCTTTTTTCTTTTTTTATAGGTGATCGCATACGAGAAGTGATGTAGGGCTGCCCCCAATGAATTTTTTGAGCATTGACGCTGATATAAGTATCAGGAACAAGTCACTATGGACGTCACGAATGTAATTGGAGATTACGGCAAGTTTCAGAGGAACGTGTATCTGTTCACGCTGCTTCGAGAAGCGCCGAGTGCCATTCACCTCGTCATATACAGCTTCTTCTTTCCGACGGTGGAGTACTGGTGTGCCATGCCAGAAACACTGACAGGAAACATAACTTCGGTGCAATGGGAACTACTTGCCTTGCCCAATTCATCCTCTTATCCCCGTCACCAATGCGAATTCCTTGAGTTCGATGTTACGGTAGAAAGAGTTGTGGTACTGGGAAACACGTCAATGCCTTGTGAAACGTGGGAGTATGGACGAAGCTACTACAAAGGATCCATGGTACAAGAAGTGAGTTGGCTACATGTGCTTCTTTTTTTGGTGTTGGAGTAAGGTAGAGTGGAGATGCTGTATTCGCATGTTAAAGCTTTAGTATGAAAATTTGTTACCAGCATAGAACCGCTCGAAAAGTCATGGTGGTTGCTTACACTTCCCGATATAGAACATAAGTAGGGTCGAAGTCAGTGGTGATTCAGTCTTAAGTAAGCGATAATTGTAACATGCAGTTACTTGAGAGACAATAGTAGCTTACACGAACTAACCGTCACACTCAATATAGCTGTGACCAGCTGCAGTTACCAATCTTTATTATGGGCAAGATAGGGTATATTATCACAAAGCAACACACTTTTACACGTAGTTAACCGAGTAAATCTTGCAGGAAACACTGGGCCAAAACGCGCCGACCAGAGAAATACGATATCTTGTTAGTACGCGCCCTTGTGGCCAGCGTAAGTATTTTTGAAAGGTTAGAAGTATTCCTGTAGCACCTTTGCAATATTCGCCTTGTATGTGAAAAGCAATTAGAGTTCATTGCGTACAACCGGGCAGCTGACGAAGCCGCCAACGACCAACAACCTTTGGCCGAAACCTAACGAGGCCTAAGACCACTATACCAATCCGCAGAGCATTTTATAAGGTTCATTGAAGCCATTTAAACATGTTGAAGTATCCGCATTTTGAAGCGGGTTTTTTCGTGACTCCTTATTTATTGAATTACATGCGCCGCAATAATTAATAAAAACGTGGTCACGTTCGATTTTGCGTTTCAGCTGAATCGTGCTTTCTGGTCAGCACTTTGTGTTGAAACTCGTATTTACTCATAATAGACTAAGCAGATTCGTTAACTTTGATGATCTTTTGCGCATTTCCCGTTTTAGACAGTCTATATGATTTCATCTTGACCACATTACCTCTGTGTGTAAATTTATGGCCTCGCATTTTTGAACACTGTTATTAGGCGACTGCTATTAAGGTGCCCGAAACATAAGACAGGGGTAAGAGTCACATCCCATTTTTATAGGGAAGGGGGATAAAAAAGCACCCATTGCATGCATTTGAATTTAGACGCAGAGATGTCCGCGAACTACAAGCGTACTCGTATTACGCAGAACACATTGTACTGAATGAAGCAAGTATTTCTATGCTCAACACAGTGGGACCTCGTTTGCGACCGAGCTTGGATGCGAAGTCTCGCACAGACTGCGACAATGGTCGGAATGCTCGTGGGCACACTGATGTCCTCACTCGGAGACAAGTATGTGAAGTAGTGCGTTTTGAAAGCGTCCGTTCAGCGACAAATAAAGACGAGAAATAGGAAGCTGATTGTCCCCGATACTGAAACAGACTTGTGTTTGTCGTGCCACTGTTCGTAACGTAAACGTTAGGCCAGTCGTGTGACGATGTCATTGAGCTGGTTACAGGGCACTAATGCCTTAAGGCACATATGATCAAGAATTTTGGGCATTTAGACTGCAGTTTACTTATTTTCATTTATTGTTGATTAGTGAGTACAGCAACTAACAACCACGATTATTATGTTCATAACTCACGTAAGCACAGTGAGTTATTTCGCATAAAATTGATGGAGCGTACGCTTTCTCATTATGTGAAAACAGTACGTAGCGCTTATACAAGGTATACGAAGGTTTTATTGCTGCAGTCCTTCTTCTATGTAGCCCATTCACCTATTCTGATTAAGACCATAGTTACTAATTCTGCAAAAACTCTATGCAGATCCTATATAAGACGCATAAATGTTAACAGACTCCATTTTATAGCCTAGTCGCCAATCTCTGCCATGCGGTTTTTTTTTGCCTTACTTCAGTTTCAGTGTCCAGGTTGCTCCATCATCTTTCAAGGCAACATTACACACTGAGCTCAAATAATGACAACTTGCGTTTAAGTCAAGTTTTTTCTTGTAGTGCTAATTTAACCACTCACATGTACTGACATTGTGTCAAAGATACCCTAATGAATCATTTATTGATTAGTCTAAGATCAAGAGTCAATTCACATTAGTAATTAGTGTCCTCTGATAAGTGGGGCTAGTTGAACAGGTTTGTAAGGATGCACAGCATCGAGCTAGGAAAATGCACATGTACTTGTCATCTTTTGTACCCATGTGTTATGCCTTATTCAATCGAGGTATGTATACGTTTACGTGATTATTGATTTTCTTTCGTACTTGTCAGGATTGGCCGGAGACCCATCGTAATAGCCGGTTACGTCATCTGCTTGTTCGGAAGTGTTTGCGTCGCAGTGTCTCCGTCATTTTCCATCCTTGTGGCATCAAGAGCACTACTCGGCTCTGGCTTAGGAATGGGGCAGTCCTCATCTTTCTGTTTGCGTAAGGTTGCCGCTTTCATTACTCTATACGTATATAACCTTGTTGCTTGCCGAACACACGTATAATATTGCTCACGGGACGTGGACGTGATTTTCCACAGGTGCTATCGTATGATAGACAAAATTAATTGAGAAAATTATGGGAGGGGGGGGGGACATGCTTTGACAGTCCTCATCGAAAGGCGACTGAGTTTATCTGTATATCGGCCTGCCTCCGAATGGTTGGGTGCACGAATTCTTGGCCTTGCGTTGATTGTGTTCCTGAGAATTTCTTGCAATACATGTTAAGGAGTTAGTAATCAAGAGATTGAAAAGGGTGGAAGTGATGCAAAGTAGTGTCATCATTTTGCGATTGACTGATACGTGGGGTTTAACGTCCCATATCCACCACATGATTATGAGAGACGCCGTAGTGGAGGGCTCGGGAAATTTCGACCACCTGGGGTTTTTTAACGTGCACCCAGATCAGAGAACACGGGCCTACAACATTTCCGCCTTCATCGGAAATGCAGCCACCGCTGCCGGAATTCGATCCCATGAGCGGGAGTTAGCAGCTGAGTACCTTAGCCAATAGACCACCACAGCTGGGCCGTCATTGTGCAAGACCTTGATTTGGAAAAAAAAAACATGCTACACATTCACGGTATAGCTTGAGTTTCTTGAAGAATTTCCTAGTGTTCATAGAAAACAACAAAGCACACACTGGCTGAATATGTTATTGTAAAAAGCGAGTGGTTTCCACTAGAAAAATCCCGCCTAGTAGCATTACCAGAGGGCCTTTCTAGCGCTGATTATTTCTCAAAGTTGACACGCCAGTGGGTAAGGGCCAGGCGAAGACCTGCTATTGCATTTGGCTATCTAAAACAGGGTTGCCAAATGCTACATCAAAGTTTAGGCTGGTGGCTGTTGTCCGTGTGACAGGCCTCATTAAATAATTGAAAATGACGCTCGTAAACATTTACTGCGTGTTTCGAAATTTCTTGACGTGGCCGACCAAACCGTTGCTGCTTAACAGCAAAGTTGCTAGCTCTGTCCAGCTTCTGAAAGTTGTTTCGGTTTGAACAGACGGCAGCCGCATTTGGTAGTCCCAAATACAATCGGGCAGCGTAATAATTTCATCGCATTTAAAGAACTCGAGGACGTGAAAAATTATCGGCAGGTGGTCCATATATGGTTTGTGTCAATGATATATTGGGCTTGGTACGTGAAACTGCAGGATTTGTTATGGCATATGGTCAAGCTCCGGCCTAAAAGTTTTCCTCGGCATACTTGATGTGCGCTGTTTCTGGAAGCACTAGGTCGGAAGAACCTTTGAATTTGTGAGCAAATAATAAGTCTACTCTGCGGAACTGTAGAGTATATGTCGGCATCCTTTCGAACAACGCGGTAATTTAAACCCAAATTTACCTGCAAAACTAGCGGGTATGTTCAGCTTTATATTGTGTGTCGTGGTATCTCAACCTTTCACGCCGGTCGAAATTGTCCTGCGCCACGTGGTTGCAGTTATGGAGGTGATCGGCCTTAAGGAGACGACCGCCGCCGCTCTGGCGCTCGGCGTTGGCTTCTCCCTTGGCATCATCATGCTTCCTGGCTTGGCGTGGTTCATACAAGACTGGAGGATGCTGCAATGGGCTATCACCACTCCTTTTCTGGCCTTCATCATTTGGTCTTGGTGAGAAGCAAGAACGTGTGTCTTTGTTTTAGTTCACAAGGTGAATTATCAACATAGTAATTAGCCTTTGGAAAATATCTTCGGGCAAAATGTCCGGATGAGTCATGTGTCTTTTGGAGTCAGTGAGACCAAGTCCAAATTATTTGGCGTTATGATGACGCTTCATTGTGATATAGAAAATTCTTGGTGTGTTCAGCATAACCCGAGAACTTTTGAGGTATGTATGACTTCAATATGGTGCCCGGCATTGTTCAGCTGCAGAAGAGTTGGTCTATGGGCCAATTGGCATTACAATATTGTAGAAAGCAGAGCAAAATGTGCAAACAGGGAAAAGGCTACAAGCACACAGGACCACACGTTAGTGCTGTGGACGTGTGGTATTTGCCTTGTACCCATTTTTCTGGGCTGATTAAGGCAAGGATTCTTGAATTACAGTCTCGGGGTAGTCTGTCAAACTAGCACGCGGCAAGAAAAAAATATCTCTTTCCATCGTATTTTACGTGCCTACCTTAACGAAATTGTTTCAAAACGATAAACCAGCTTTATTAATTTATCACAACTTTGCAAAATTGATGACGCTGTTGTGACTTGTACAGGATGAAATTGGTACGGCGAGCAACATTTATTGATCTGACGACCAAAAATATCTATATAGTTCATTCACAGCGCTTTTTAAAAAGCTTTCGTAAGCAATCACAATATTTAACAGAAGACGCACATCACCACAGGTTTAAAAGCACCCAACCCAACGATTGCAACTATTGATGTTGGCCCTGTTTTTTTCAGGCACATCCTATTGTATGCCCACGAGCTTCCCGTAGTTTCGCGCAAATTAATTCTCCAACGTCCTAGGCTCCACTTGCTTCGCCTTCGTTAGTGTACGAAGAAAAATGTACATTGGCCTCATTCATTAGAAGACCTCGGAAGCTTCACATTTTTGTCTTTCCAGTAAGCGACTTCGGCCCGTTATTAACAGGCCTTTCCCGTAATAACAAAGATCTTGAGGTACTTCAAAGGCGTGTAACTTTCTGGTGCCATGGCTGCGTTTTGTCAACATTTCCTTGATTATCGCTTTGATACAGCTTTACAGGCGTTGTAGTGCGTGGTACTTTTTTCAAACAGGGAACTTTACGGAACACATCTTCCTGGTACTACTGTTTTTTCAGAAAGCGTGGTTGTAATTGTTGTAATTATCATTGTAGTAAACTGTGTACTACTCTGAAGTATAGTGGTTATGCTGCTCAGCCGCTTACCCGAAGGTCGTGGTTTCGATCCAAGGCCTGGCGGTAGCATTTAGACATATGTGAAATGATAGATTCCCCTGTAATGTGTAAAGGTAATGGACGCTAAAGAACGGCAGGTGACCTTGGTTTCAGGAGATCTCCACTACGGTGTACTTCATAACCATATCTTGATTTGTCGTTACCGCTGTTAACTGCTTTCCTCTCTGTCGGCAGGTTCCTTCCAGAGTCCCCGCGCTGGCTTATAGCGAAAGGCAAGATGTCCGCAGCTCGTAAAGTAATCCTTAAAGCATGCACAGATAACAGACTGCACGTCGACGACATCGACATTGTTCTGGCGCAGTTGAGAAAAAAAATTTTGCAGGTAAGTGCACCTTACCTTGCGAAATCCTCGTTGCTGCCACAGCGCATGCGTTATTGTTCACCGGCCGTGCTCTCTGTGGCACACATTGAATTGTTCTTGCGTGGGCTTGTCTATGATTCCAGTCGCCATGCATTTCCCTTTCACGTGTGCAAGAGTTCTTAGGCGACATTGCCATACGACCACCAATATTCACTGGATAGAGGAGCACTGATGACTTCGAAGATTACATACATCAATTTATACCCAATAAGACTTGCAGTGGGTAGTAAAACTACAAAAACTAAGCATTACGCCTTCAGTGCGCGTTTGCACCAAATTAATGGAACAGGTTAGTCTGTCTAACCAAAACAATGACGTCAACAACTTACTGGTGCTACGGCAATTACTAATACGTTCAATCAGTTGCATATATTGAGTTAATGCTGGCAGAGTATTTTCTACTCAAAAGCGGTATTTTGTAGAGTGGTTATAAGACTGTCAAAATGAAAAAGTTGTAGGGAACATTCCAAGAAACACATTTGATAGAGTGAATGTGAATAGGCATTTACAAAGCTGTCATACTCGCCGGTTTATATACATACTCTGTGCTAGCGTATGCCCATGAACCTGAGCTCCAACACGTTTTGGAAATACTGAAGCTATGGGATTGAAAGAGCCCCGTTCTGCATGCACAATATACATTTTTAAGAGTTGAAATATCTTGCATGCCAATTGCCGTGTACAAACATACAGTTAACCCAACTAGAACGAGCGCACTGAAATTTCACAAAAAGTAGTCTTGCCAATCATCCTAATACAAATAACCCCGCATTATTTCCTTAGCCCGCAAACTTTCTTTCGCTCTGATCTGCCCTTTTTGCTAGCCTGCTTTATTTTTTTTGGGATGCATAATTGAGTAGCGCACTAATTGATAAATTACAAAAAGGGAACATCCACTCACTACGCAACGATGAATATGTTCCATCTCGCCAGCCATTCAGTCCTACAATTTTCAGATCTGCGCTCAACAAAAGTGACGCCTTAATTTTTAGGACATCAGAATCTTTCGTTTACGCTATAGGTGTAATTTTAGACGTCGGGATGAATAAGACCTATGTTTTCTGCGCTTGTGCTTCACCATCTAGATGCTGGGATGAAAATGATCAGCTGTTGACTTACATTGTGCGAAAATAACACACGTAGCGTTAGGGTGCATTCTATCTCGCACACAATCGCTGAGGCATGCAGGTCGACACTCAGGATACATTACCTAAAAGCAGTATATCACAGTCTCTCTGTGTGTATCGATAGATAGCAGAGCACAAAGTGCTTATTTAAAAAGGTGGCGTATGCTTTCCAGTTCATTATTGATATTTGTGTTATGTTGTGTTGTCCGAATTTGACTAGGAAGAAGAATCCGCAAAGACAAAAGCCAGCTTTGTCGACCTTGTAAGAAGCCGGAGAATGCTCATTTACACCATCGTACTGGTTTACGCATCGTAAGTATTGCCAATGTGGAATATAGACCACTAAGAGGACGAATACCTATCAGGCTCTTATATAGCCAACATGTAGACATCAAACAAAAACACCACCACCAGCACTCTCATCACCACCCTGGATAGTGCACAGAGAGCTAGGGGTATGCACATAGGCCACGATAGTGTTAGTGTCACGTAGAAACGGGAAGAAATGAGCGAGCTTCTTCCTTGCAAGCAACAACAGAAAAAGAATCGCCTTATTATAGGAAACCAGCGGCTTCTATTGGCCGCATTACTGGTACCATCGTTGCGCTATAACTGCCATCATTGCCGCTGCCATAGCTGGCCATCTTTCTTATCACATCTTTCTTTGCCTTTTTGAGGGGCGGAGCTCCTGGGTCTATTGCGCTACAGCTTGCCGGTACTGACTAACACTTGCAAATCGAATACTCATTCATTGGAGAGTTTGCAGGGTCAGGCACTGCGTATCTGCCTAGGACTGCCCCGATTCGCTTCTACTTATGCCACAATCATGCTTGCCAAAGACCATCCGGTCAGGACATATATAGTTGTGGATTGTTTCAGAGCGCACATTCGACATGCTAGCCGTGTCTCCGACCACCACTTGGCCCTTCTACCTTCCGGAAGACCACGTGCTACGTTTTCAGACGTCATAGCCAAGCACCTAAACAGCATTCCATCAGGGTATACGCCAGCTGCGAGAGCGGCATGCCCTTTGTGGTGCCTCGACCAGCCGCAAGTACGTCTAGAAATTCCGGGAATCAAAAAGAAAAGCAGTCACTCCAGAGTAGCATTGAAGCAAGCAACACTGCTATTATTACATGAGTTGTACTTAGACCGAACGCAGATATACACTGATGGGTCCGTCTCATCCAGCAGCTCATCAGGTGCCGCTGTAATTCCGGCTGCAGAAATGACAATCAAGTTTAAGTTGTCGCATATGACTACATCTACGGCATCAGAGCTTGCTGCTATAAGGGCTGCTTTACAATATTTCGTTCAAGAACGTCCAGGAAAATGGGTCATATTCTATGATTCGAAGGCAGCGCTTCAGAGTTTGCAGTCTGCCATGTGTAGGAGGAGCCATGACCAACTGGTACAAGAAATAAGACATTGCCATCATGAAGCTCTAGCACGAGGGAATGATATTATATATCAATGGCTGCCTGGACATATCGGTATTACCGGGAATCAATTAGCCGATGATGCAGCCCGCTCAGCCCATGAAGAAACCCGTGTAGTCCCGATTCCTCTATCAAGGAATGATGCAGCAAGACAACTTTACCTGCTGGCTCGAGATCTCACACGCACGTTCTGGTCGTCTACCAGCTTCCAAAGGTGTCAATTTTATGAACTGGATCCTTCGCTCAAGCTAAAGCTACCATCACAACTTTCCCGCTCCGATGCGACACTGTTATGCCGCCTTTGGTTGGGTGTTGCATTCACAAAGGCGTACTCCTTTCGCATTGGTATGGCAGACACTCCTACATGCGACTACTGCGGAGCTGAAGAGACCATCGAACACGTCCTGTGCAGCTGCGCTTGCTACGACACACAGCGATGCCAGCTACGGATGGTTTTGAATCAACTTGACCCCGGACCATTTTGTGTGCAGAAGATACTAGGACCTTGGGCATCTGCCTCAGTTGCGCAGAAAGCAACTAAAGCACTGCTACTTTACCTTAAGTCAACAAACCTGAGCGACCGCCTGTAAACTGTGTGTGCTCCCCGAGTGTGCTCGTGATTGTGTGTACCTTCTCATCTTTCTGCAACCTCTTTTCTCCCCTTTATCCCCTCCCCAGTGCAGGGTAGCAAACCGGATGTGCGTCTGGTTAACCTCCCTTCCTTTCCTTGCATCTTTATCTCTCTCTCTTTTGAGGGGCGAAGCTCCTTAAAGCGGCACCAGTTCATCCCTCGTCGTAGTACGTAACATGTCCTACGCTTCGACCTGCAAGGTGGTGCCAGCGGGAGATTTCTCCTGTGCGTTGTTGAACAATAAAAAATTCGCAAAGGGCGCGTTAACTAAAAGAGAATTCTCATGTCTCTCATTCCCCATTAGCAGCCATTGGAATGTATATTGAACACTATCTGACAAGAAAGGGTTGCTACGTTATGCTCGCTGGGCGTAGCTTTCATGGTTTTAGAAAGGTTCAGCGAGCGTTGGACCGCAGTGCCATGAATACAGTGAACTACTATATACCATGAACTCGAGGTGGTTAAAGGGGGGAAGTAGACACGAAGCGCAAGCCGTAAGAAAGCGTCCGTGTGCCACCTCTTGTTTAGTCCTTGGAATGTGCGCTGGATGGCGGTGCTTCTATATATGGAATATATGACGAAAAAACGCGAGATGGTGGTACTTGCAGTGTTGACTAGATGGACGAGCGGACACACAGACAGATGCATGGACGGACGTGTGGATGGTTGCACGGGCAGATGGACGCATGGATGGTCACACAGACGGACGCATGGACGGACTGAAGCAAGAACGAATGGACGGATGGATGCTTCACCCCACTCTCCATCATTCACCCCGTGGATATGCTGCCATTTTTTTAGTATGCTCTTGTTCTGGTGCACGAAATAGTTTCGGAAGAAGCACGCACCTTCCACTTCGTGTGTGATAATGAAAGGAGCTGTGAAACTGCTGCGCACTGCTAGTTTCATCACTTGGAATTCCCGGCGATTCCTCTCTTGGTGGCGTTGTTGCTCGAGCGTCTTACCGTAGGCAGCGGGACAAGATTGGTGCGATTCTCCGCCGAGAGGTTTCCCCGTAGTCGACCCGGTATGACATCGGCTCGTCAGCGCTTCCTCGAACGACCCCATCTTTTTGCAGGTCTAGCCACACATACCTCTGTTGCTTGGAGGGAGACCACCAGGGGGCTCGAAGTAGTGCAGACGCGCGCGCTCTGGATTCTCATGATTTTTAGTGGCGTTTTCCGTCTGCAACCACTCGAAAACGTTACTATCAGCTTCAAGAAGTTCCGAGGAACGCCTGGGCACCACTCAAGAGGATTGCTTGCCACTTGGAGGTGCCAAAGGACTTCAGAAAGCTCGTCACCCCTAGGACGCTCACCAAACGCTGACCTGGGGAGCCGCCGGCAGCTGCACCGACGCTGGGGACGCCCGCGTCAGAGCTTCATCCAGCTATGGCTCTCAACGCGGCGACCGACCAACAATACCACCTCCTAGACCAGGATGGTACAGCAGACGACCAAATGGATCAACTCCAGGGCGACCACGATACGGTGAGCCGAGACGCTATCGGCGCTCAATCGCATGCAGAAGAGGACGCTAGCTGGCAGGCAGCGAAATCCACCAAAAAACGCAAGCAAGAGGCACTGGAGCGGAGGCGCGGCAGCGCAGGGCTCCAGGACCAAGTTAAGACAGGCACGCCAACATTCAAGAAATTGCCAAAGCTACCGCCGTTGCCGAAGGACGATTACAAGATCGTCATTCGTCCAAACCAGGGCCTCCCGCTGAGAAACATTCTGACTCCTACGCTTGCGCAAGCAATCAACGAGGCATGCCAAGCTGGCATCAGAGATGACCATTTCATCCTTAGAATCAACCCAGGGTCAAACATAGCGATTCTGTCGACCAAATATGAGGAAGTGGTGGACAAAGCGCGTCTGATACGCGCCCTTGTGCTTAACGGCAGGGCTCACGCTGTCCGTGCCTACGCCGCAAATGGAGACGATACTCTGAGAGGGGTGATTCCCGGCGTACCGATGAACACCTCAACCGAAACTCTCATGGCGCACCTACGTGTCAGAACGCACGGTGTGGAGATCATCACTGCCAGAATGATAGGCACAACGAAAAGCGCAGCCATTACATTTTCGGTCCAACGCTACCTCGTACCGTCTACTATTACGGGGGTGAACTCTGCTGCTACCCCTTCCGACCTACGATTCAAGTCTGCAAGGTCTGCCGAGAAAAAGGACACCGCGCGGACGTTTGCCCGCATCCGGATCGCCCCATTTGCCGGCTGTGCGGACTGACTAATCCAACGGATGGACATCCGTGTTCTATTAGTTGCACCTCGTGCGGGGAGGCTCACCCCACAGGAGATAGAACTTGCAAAAAAAGACTTAAGCCGCCGAAGCCTGAACAGCCGCAAGTACAAGCAGGCCACAGTGATAAGCTTCAACAGGGTACTAGCAACGACCCACCGAGGACCAAGAATCTCCGCTGGTTCTCCTCCGAAGAGGAAGAAAACGCCTACAAGTCAGCCGATGACAAGCACAGTTCCCGGTCGCATTCACGGTCCCCGGGCAGAAAGCCGCACTCGCCATCCAAGAAGAGTGCGCCAGCACCGACTCAGCAGAACCTCCACCGCAGTCCTCCAGGAGGGGGAGCCAAAGGCAACGGCGGGGATCAAGAATGCACCCAACAGGCATCATCACTTCCGGTAAGCTGGGCGGAAGCCGTGGCTCCCAAGTCTGCATGTACTCCCCCCATCACACAAAACGTACACTATCAAGCAGTAATCACTGAAAACAAACAGCTTAAGCAACGCCTTGACAAATACGAGAACAAAATAATGTGGCTCGAAAAACAGCTGGCCCAATTAATGGGAGCCACCCCGAAAACTACAGTCCAGGCCTCTCAAAATCTAACTAGCCACCCAAGCGAAAAGCTACGGGACAATGGGCACATCCAACCGCAATCGACACCACCACGAGATCCTGTAGCCAATATAGGAACAGAACAAACAGCGACAAACCTCACTTTACAACAACAACTGCAGCTAATGCAACAGCACATACTGCAGCAAACAGAAGCCCAAATGAAACAGTTCTTTGCCGAATTTCATGACCTGAAGCGATACGTTCATGAAAGCCTCGACAAAGAAACGAGGCGTCGACGTAAGCAGAACCAACCGCGGTCCCAGGAGTCCGACGCCAAAAGCATGCTTACCTCGGACGCTGAAAGCACACCCACCTCCTCGCATCATGGCAATTAACCGACGCATAGCAA